TTTTTTTTTTTTTTTTTTTTTTTTTTTTTTTTTTTTTTTTTTTTTTTTTTTTTTTTCTTCTCCAGCCACGAGCCGTGTCCGTCCGCATATTAATCACGAGTTTTTCGAATTCAAGAAAATTTGCCTCCTTTTCCCGGTGCCATCCCCGTATTATCACTACTATTCGATATTCGTGAGGTAAAAGAAAAAAAAAAAAAAAAAAGGTACTTTATCCATACTGAAACTACTCGAAGCGCACTCTGACATTGGAAGCGAACTACTTTACACTGGTATATTATTTATATCTCTACAAGGAATCTCAACGTCTTTCGTATGTATACGAGACTCGTGAATGGGCGTTACCGAAATAATGCATCAGCTGATGAGAAGCAGCTGTATATACTTGGTTAAAAAAAATAGAGCCTCGGGCATTATTGAATATGATTCTATATCACACAAAAGAGCTGATTCACGCGGTAATTAATAGTAGAAAAATTTCGTATGGAATAAAGGGACATCGTTGAGATGCACGATCGTACAGGGTGTACATATATAGGTACGAAGCAGACAATTACCTATACATGTATGTATGCTTAACGTAAGACAAAAGATTGTACGATTAATGCGTTTGATCGACAATTTGTTTGACCGATCCCTCTCTCTCTCTCTCTCTTGGGGAGAGGATCCATTGGTATATACACCTATACCAACCAACCACCTCGACATGGTCACGTGTATAGCTTTGTCAATGACATCCTCTCCAGTCATGTATATACCGTAGTTCATTGTCTTTCTCCCAACCGGGGTACAAATATATATACACGTAATGAAGGGATACCTACCCATGCGAGAATGCCCAATATATACACGAGAGAGGTATGGTCGCCGTCATCGTCCACGTATGCACACAAGACGAACCGAGCGCAGCCCAAGCCGTATAAGACACATGTAACGTGTAATAATGGATTTGTCGAAACTCTAGCGGATAATAGATATGTACACACATGGTATGGCAGAGGGGGAGGGAGGGTGTCACTGACCTCTGTGAAACGAATGATTGTATGTGGGCCATCCCGCGGCATCCGTATGTATATGTTTAAGTGCACACGAGACAAGTAAGAGACCCGAGGCCGGTAAGTGTCGAAAAAAAGGGAGCAAACAATTTACATCGTCGCTTTGAATCGATGTATAGTCGAGAAGTACTAGCTACGTATAATTTACATGTAGGTTGGTATGGTAATGCGCCACTGTCCCCCTCACACCCACACGCCTATATATATATATGTCTCGGGGCTTGCAAATTTCGGAGTCCAACCTTCGGTGTATAACCTACTAAGATAGACCTACACCCTGTACCGAGAGTATAAGGTACCTATTACTCTCCCACGAAGAAAGTAGGTTACACACACGGCGCGATTTCATCAAACCGTGTCGGTCGCTCGATATGTGTTATTTGTTGCAAATTACCTGCCACCGCAACACTATGGGTACATATTTATTATGCACCTTGCCACCTGTGTCTCTATATTTTTGTACAACATTTGGAGTGGAAATGTTGAATGTACACATGTATATATTATATATAGGGTAGAGCGTGCGCTCGTTAGGACACACTATTGCATTGTAGCACTTTCCTTCCGGCCTCCTCGTCAAAGTGAGTAAGCACGATGGTTTGCTAATATTTGTTATGATTGTTATGGCTACCCACAGTAGAAGCACCTTAATAGTATAATATGGTGATTTCACAACCAAGCGCATTGTAAGTCAAACATATATTATATTCTCCCTTGGAAATA